TTTTTTGTTTTTTGCTTTTTTGTTTGGCCTAATTTTCTTTGGAAACAAATTAGTTCAAAAAATTTTTTTATAAAGTTGCGCACTCGATGTAGATTATCATGTCTCATTCTAAAATAGAAAATCTTCACGCCGTTAGTGAAAAGGTCTTCCAAAACTTTCGCGAGCACAGATTGGCTTTCATTGGACGCAAACTGAACTTCTCGCGCCCGCCTTGCAAAACCTCCCACCCCTTATCCTAAACTTGATCTTTGATTTAAATTTAATATTTCAGAAAACACAGAGCACATTCCAGAATTCAACTCTGCATCTCTCGCTTCCATTGAAATTATTCGTCTCGAAAAGTCCAAAGGTCAGTAGTGTTATAGTATTGCTATTATATTATAATCAAAAGCTCTTCACTGATACGAAGTATGAAAAGCGTTTGCTTAATGAGCGTTTTTGTCTACTCATTAGTAAACCGCCTGTAGGTTACAATCGACGTTGTGCATTTAAACTGTCGTTACGTTCAAGCCATGTCCGGAAAGGGTTTTGGGGCCACGGCGAAAAATGTTAATATAGATAACCTTCTAGATGACCGCGTTAGTGCTATGACACTATTAGTGCTTGTGCCAGGATGTGTATACAACTAAGTTCGTAATAAATACTACTACGTTGGTCTACGTTTAGTTAGGCGGCTCAATAGCAGCGCGTACCACCCACCCCCCCCCCCCCCCGTGCTGCAAATCAAGTCTAGAAGATTTGATGATATATGATTTCATATAGCCCCCATTTCCATGTATATTTACAATGAAATATGAATGGCAAATGATTAATACGAGGTATAGGAACTGAGTATGGTCACTGCCAGGCTTTCTTTACGTCCTCATTGGTTCTTTTACGTCCCTCCAATATTGGTTAGTAATGTGAAACGTGTAGAGACGGGACAGCCTTGAAAGTGGTCATCCGAGCCTCTAAAAGCCTAACTACTTGTACTGATGTAATTACAGAGGCAGCACTTTCTCCTCAGTTATTTTAAGACCCTGAGTGTTTGTCAGGCCGCCGAGGCTTGAACCCTTGACCTCCCGCACA